TTTATAAGCCTTCACTTCAAGGGTGCGTACCTGGACCTGGTCGGCTTAATGGCTGTATGGAGTCACGCTAAAGACAACTGCAATGCTACAGTCAGCGTTACCAACTTGCTTGACTGACGATAGGCTGGATGTCTCAATAGCTTATCAACTCAGACAGATTGATAGTGATTGCCGGATTTCTCCTATGGAGGATGATTCCGATGAATTCGCGATAGCGGCTATGGTCTTGGGGGTCCCTGGGTGGTGCAAACGGTTAACGTGCTTGGCTGACTCTGAGCTGGCGTCCACCCAGAGGCACTGCAGACACATGGCCTTGTGCTCCACTTCTGAAGAAGAGCCCTTGAAACCGTGCGGAATACAGTTCTACTCTGACACATGCGACCACTAAGCGCTGGAATCAACTTGATGGCAATTGATTTTTGGCTGTGGCCCCGGATAGGGCAGTGGCCGCGTTCATAGCATGTGTGAACCATATTCACACTAGAACTTCCTGCAGCCAGGCCCCATCCTTAGCTCTGATCTCTATGGATACTGTCTCAGACCTAGGTGTAACCTGGGGCGCATTACACTTCGTGGGGTGGAGCTAGTATGTTGTTTGTCCCTTAGAACAGGCCCGAAGTCACAAATTGACTGAGCTAATTTGGCTTCAGTAGTCACAGCATGCCTTGTTACTGAGATAAGAAAATCTTTGGACACTGCCATGGGGAGTTAGTGGGAGGTAAAAGGGTGTGTGTGTGTGTGTGTGTGTGTGTGTGTGTGTGTGTGTGTAAGGGAGTGCATATCCGAAGAATGTCCTGCAGTGGGCTGGGAAAAATAGGAGGAAAAGGGAATTGTACAAGATGACGTACCAGAAGCGATTTTTGTATTGTTTCATCATCACATAATTGTTTTACACTTGTATTCACAGACCCTCTCGGGCTCGTTTCCAAAAGCTGACCATGAAGTTTTACCAGCGTAGCAGCAAACAGGATATTGTCTCTTTGATGCTAAAGTTTTTATGAGTGAAGATAGCATGCTTTTAGGAAAGGGCAGAATACATTTCAAAGCAAAACAAAATCCACAAAAAAACTAGCCTCCCAAACCATGAAATTATAGGTGATATGCAACGCACATGTGTGTGTGTGTGTGTGTGTGTGTATCCTGGTGGCATAGTGGTTATGTGTTGAGCTGCTAACCCCAAGGTCAACAGTTTGAAGCCACCTTGGGAGAAAGATGAGACTTTCTATTCCTATAAAGATGTACAGGCTCAGAAAATCACAGGGGCCGTTCTCCCCTGTCCCATGGGGTCACCACGAGTCGGCATTGACTTGGTAGCAGTGAGTTTGTTTGTTTTTAGATGAATCATGTCATTTAACCGCCCAGAAGCTACTCAGCCCACTGCCGTCAGGGCCTCAGGGTTCCTGAGCCACTCACTGTAGGGTGGGTAGGCTTGCTTGGTCATGGTGAGACCTGAATTTCTTCCTTTTAAAACTTTACTTTATTTATTGTTGTTGAGAACATCCACAGCAAAAGCACCTCCGTTCAAATCTCTCCTGGTGTGCTTCAGTGGTATTGACTGCATTCCTGGTGCTGGGCAACCATTTTCTGAGTTATTCCCCCCCACTTACAGCTAATATAGGTAGCCATTCTATTGAAAGGCCCCTAAGGCTAGGGTTAGGAGCCCTGGGAGCATTGTGGGTTGCACCTTGAGTGCTAACGCAACATCAGCAGTTTGTAATCATCAGCTGCTCCATGGAAGAAAGATGAGGCTTTCTGCTCCCGTGAAGCTACAGGGTCTCAGAAACCCACGTGAGCAGTTAGTTCTACCTGTCCTCTAGGATTGCAATGAGTTGGAATCGACTTGATGGCAGTGCGATCAACTCCTATGAAGGCGCCCTGGTGGCCCGTGGCCTAGACATTAGGCTGGGTTGCTATGAGTCAGAATCTACTCAAAGGCATCGAGTTTGGCTTAAGAAGGTT